GATCCCAAGTCCTTTATACCTAAAGAACACAAGTTAGAAACCCCAACTAACCGTTGAAAAGTACATCTTTGGCTGTTTGGCTGGGTTTTTGTTCCCTGTTCTCTATGATCAAAGTCACTGTTCTGCCTCTTGTGCTGTATGTCCATCCCTTGTTTTTTATCCTAGCTTGTAAGTTGCAACAATTCTAGCCAAGTCTTTGTGGGGTTTTCAGCTCTTGCACGAGTTTTAATGAGGAGTGTTGCCAGAAACTGTGGTTCCATAAAGTGGAGAACTGAAATGCAAAAATAAGCATTAGGTATTCTTAGTAAGGAGAGCTGAAGGCCTCCCATCTTTAAAACAAATTAATTCTGCTAAACCTAAGGATGTGTATATGTGCTCTCTCCTTGTGTGTTAGAGTTTGTACCTGTCTGCCAATGTGTATGTACAAATATGGAAGAAAATGAAATGTGCTCAACGCTTGGCCATAGGTCTAAAATAGTTTTTTAAAACATACACAGAAAACAAGAAGCAGCATATTTAGTCAGGTGTTTCACATGAGAAGTAAGCTGTTATCAGTTTTCTTATCAGGTGATGCCTGTGCAAGTCTGGTTGGCTGGTGGAGCAATTTCAAAATCAACATACTTCTTATGGGGTGGGAATATCTTGCCACTACCTTTTGCTTTAGATGGTTAGCTCACAATTGAGGAAGAACTTAAAAGAGGGGAAAACCCCAGTGTCTGTTAGATACAAAGCTAAGTCAAGGTTCAAATAACTCATGTCTGATGCCAGGTCTATTTTAGCACATTCTAAGACAAGGCTTACAGGCCTCAATTTACACCCACTCACTTGAATATGCTTGGCACAGGCTGGAAAGTATTGTGAAATGCTGTCTTTTAACTCCCAAGGACTATTCATAGTTAAAAAACAAACCAAAGCCTATTTCAATATTTAGTGAGGTTGTACTCAGTGATACCCTAAAATAGTCAAAGTGAGGATTTAAAATTAAATAAACCTTGCAAAACAAAGCAATTTACAAGAACAGTAAAATGATTAATACAGGTGCCTAAACAAGCAGAGAGTGGCAGCAGCAAAGTCAGTCTCAGCTTGCCTAATGCTGTATTTGTGGCTGACTTTCAAGCTTTATCAAAGTGCAGCACTGCTTCACTGAGGGACTGAATCACAGCTGCATGGCAGAAGAGTCTGCATGCAGCAAACAGTTGGGATTTTCCAGGAGGCCAGTTTGATTTCTCACTCTCCTGTTAAGTGGAGACATGTAAACATCTGCCCTTGGATTTATTACATTGATATGAACTGCCTGACCCCTTAAGTCCCATGATGCAGGGCCTATTATGTATGGCCTCTAGGGAATATCACACTGCTGGTCTGAAAACATTCCTTGGCAGTGTTTTTACCCATGAGCTGCTGAGAAAAGTAGGAAAAGGAGCCACGTGCTGCCACCTTTTTAGTTTTGGTTTTTTTTTTTTTTAAGATGGAAAGTTTTCTATCTAGTATATCAAAAGTTTGGGAAAACAGTGATCTCTGTGGAGTTGCTGCTCAGAGCACAAAAAAACCCAAAAAAAACCCAGAGCTATGTGGAGGGTTTTTCCCCCCAGTATTACTTTTCAGTATTTCATGGTAACTTAATTTTAAGCTGCATTTTAAGAGGCATTTACTGAGTTCTTTTTCACTTTGTATTGTTCCTAGTTTCTGTAATACTGTTTCTGAGGTACTGTAATCCTAAATCATTTTTCCAAAGGATATAGTTATCTAAAAATGACAGTAGGGTTTTGCAAAATTAAGTAAGAAGCCAAAATAGGAGCATGGATGCATAAGCAATAGCAAGGGAGGATTAACTGCTGATATGTAAAATGTTCCTGACTCTACTTTGTTACTCACTCGTTATTTGGATTTACATTGTCGTAATATCTTTGCATTTGTTGTTGTTTGAAATTCCCCAGGAACATCCCAAATAGTAGGTTAGTAACATTCCAGACTAGAAAAGGCCGCAAAAAATATGTGATGACAAGATTTCAGATATTTTCCAGCTTTTGGATGGAATGCAGGTGTCAGGACACAAAGGCATGCTGTCACTGATGCCCTGTGCCAGGATTGGGCCGCTGTGCTGCATTCACCCCTCCAGATACCACAGGGATCCTAGAAACAAGCGATCCAAAGATAGTCCTTAGGTCAGCAGTGAAACAGATCCTTGCTCTGGAGTGTAGGGACAGCACCCCTGTGACATCCCCGAGCTGCTGAGCTAGTGTAACAGGCTGCCTTCGTGTTGTGAAATGCTTCAGTCAGCTGATCACTGTGCCACAAGGATGGGTTTATGTGCCTAAATGAAGAGCAGAAACAAGGGTAAAATGTTGCACATTAGCTTTATCTCCAGCAACAGAGTAGGGACAAAAAGGTAGTAGGCAAACATCCCCTGGCAGCACTCAACACAAACATGGTCCTCTTTGGAGGTTTCTTGTGCAGCCTCAGTAGCTCTTTGGCTTCATTTTGACCTCTACATTTGTAGCCTTAGAACAGGGTAAGTGGGTCATGTAAAATAAATCACTGCTTTTCAGTAGTGCTTCACAGGACATTATAGATCACTGTAGATGTAAGACTATCAAATGTGTGCATGAGCCTATGAAAATAGTTTATCATCATAAGCTTAATCTGGTGTGGAGCTTGGAGACTGTTATATATGAACCCTGAGGGAGAAAAGATTAGGTTCCAAGATTTTGGCTGCAAAATGCTAAGGCTAAGTCATCAGAATTTTAAGCTGTTTCAGTGACCAAAGTTATTTTTATTTTTGGAAGTGAATTATTGATGACACATCCCCACGGCCCTCGGCACGCAACCTCAGCTGTCACATTCCTCCCTGCCTAGCTACAAAATGCATCTGATGCTCTTATATGGTCTCTTGGCTGGGGCTGTTGGCCTTGTAGCCTCTCAGCAGTTAAGGGGTTTGCATCCACTTGCAGGTTAACTCGTCTCCTACAAAGTAAAAAACCAGGGAAAGTGGAACTTGGGAGGTTGTCATTATACTCACACGCCCTTGGATATTCTTTCTCAGTCACACATCTTCCTGAGCAGGTTTCTTCACCTCTGCACAGTTCTGTCTCACCCTCTACTCAGAGGGAGCATGCAAGGAACAAAACAGCTACACCCCACATTTCAGCTGGCTGTTCGGAAAACAAAAGCAGCAGTACAGAATATTTTTGAAGTGGACAATTTCCTCTCAAGGAGGATACCAGGTTCTCTTTTATGTAGTTCATATTTATGATTTTAAAATCACTACTTCCAGCAAGAAAAATCCAGCTGGCACACCTGCTGCTTTCTCAGTGTAACACACTAGCACCTAACATTCAGAGGGAAAACAGGATCAGGAAAAGGTTTTAGGGATGCATGGTTCCTAAAAAAAGTAAACTGCTCTCTTAATGCCATTTAGACACACCAAGGGAAAAAATAATATCTTACATCTGTCCTTCGAGCAGGCGTGTATGCACACAGTACTGAATTGCAGCAGTGACAAGATCAGTCTAAAAAAGTGACAGCATAACTTGTTCTCCAGCCTAATGTTACATAGCAACATTTCAACAGGACAGTTTCCTAAATCACCACTCTCTTGTCTTTGTCACAAGGGCACTGCTGGTGAAAACTTCCACACATACTTGTAAACTACTTCCTAGAGCCTTGCAGGTGTCACATGGAGAAATAACTCAGCAGCCATTACTGAAGAGCACCAGGATAGTTAAAAAGCAAACTTTCAAAAAATGAAGCACCTGTGCCAACCTAAAATAGTGTAGAACATAATGTGGGTAGGAGAAAAACTGAGGCTAAGTTTGTTAGCAGATAAAACACAAAACTGGGAAAAGAATGGTTGAAAACTCAATTTTAATTAAGCCCATAAGTGGAAAAAGTGACCCTGGAATAAAAAAATAGTCCATGTATGCCAACTGAGTATACTTTGTCAAGTTATTTACAAACCTGAAGTCAGAATATCTTCCAGAGTTGCCACATGGGAACACAAGCAAGATTAAGTAACCAAGCCTTCATGCTATCACACACAAAATGAGACAAACCCACCTTACAGGATAAGCTGTCAGAGCTTTTACAATCCCTTGTGCTGAATTCCTCCTCCTTGGGGTCTTAAGTTGTGTGATATAGCTAAGGGCAAGCTTTCTGGGTAACAGGTCATTGTTTTAATTGATAAATACATAGGCAAAATAAATTCTCCTCCTGCTTTATAACTTGCAGTAGCCAAGAGAATGAGGCAGACAGAAAAGCATGGTCATACTAAGAACTAACAGAACAATCCTCCTCTTTTCTTTGTGTTTGAGACAGCATCAGCACAGCCAGTTCTGAATGACTGACTGTGCTTGGTTAAAAGCCATCTTACCAATATTACTGAGGAATGTGTACGGTATTTTAAAAAGAGAGCAATTTCAGCACCTATAAGTTTTACCAAGTTAATTCTCAGAATGACTTGGCTCACATTCTCACATGTGAATGAATTAGCTGTAGAAAAATAAAGCTTTGTGTAAGTTTTCTGGCCATGTATTGCTGTTAATTAGTGCCAGCACAGACTCCTTTGCACAAGCTTCCTTCAGCAGAAAAATATGCCTAATTCCCCCTTACTTAGCAAAGAAGAATGCACACTTTGACATGAAAGTACTGCTAGAAAACCCATCAATATTAAAAGGAAGCAAAAGCTGGGCATGGTGTCTGCTCAAGAATCAGATGTTCTCTGCTGGCCATGAGGCAATTTTAACAGTCTTCCCCAACCATTTATTTGGTTAACTACTTACACAGTAGTCAGATCCCACTTCAAAAACCTGAGATGAAAGACTTCTGCAGTTGCATTTTTAAAGATGCCAGCAGATGCTGCTAGGAGCATTTCAGAACTCTGTGACATTGAACAAAGCACCATGAAAATGAGTTTTCCAGCTTGACTTGCAACTGCAAGAAAAATACAATGAACACACCTGCATTTGTAAATGTGTAGTAGAAATGTCATTATTCACAAAAGATTTTGAGGTATTTTATCTATATAGCAATCTTTATTTCAAAATGGCATTTATTACAAAAATGTAAAAATCCAGCAAAACCAGAAACATTGAGATTATTTTCCTGGACTATCACCTCTAGGGAATGTTTTTCCTGTAGCCTTTCCCTCTAAATATTTTCCCTGCTTCCAGTCTGATTACAGGTGCAAGTGTGCCTAAATGGCCTGGAGTAGATAAATATATTGAAAAAGACAAAAGCTTTGGAGCTAAATGCATGCAACAAGTTCTATCAGGAAGAAACCATTAAAAATAAACATAAATGTAGAGATAATGTGCAGGTATCCAGGGATTGGCTCAGTCGTCCTTGTCCTTCGCTCCATGTTTGAGGATGCGTGTGAACTCGATGTAGTTGAAGTTGCCCTTTTTGTCAATGGGGGCCTCTCTGTACAGCTCATCCACCTCTTCATCCGTGAACCTGTCTCCCATGGTGGTCAGCAGCTCCCGCAGGTAGTCTTCTTGGATGAACCCTGGAGCACAGTGTAGGAGGACAGAAGAGGAGTTTTTAATTCATCTGCAAATACATGGGTGATAATTTCTTTCTTTGAGTTCTTTCCCTCAATTAAAGATACCTACAATCTTTGTCTGCCAAATGAAAACAATACCATTAAACCTTATCATTAAAAATGCCAAATAATTACAAGGATTCAATCAAATCAGGCATCTTAGTTTGACCATTATATGCTTTGCCTGTGGTGTGCCAAAGAATATAAAAATTTATTAGCATTCATATTGGACCTTCTTCCCAACAGCAGGGCTACTCCCAATAATACCAAGAACCTTCTAACTCAGTATTTTAAAAATCACAAAGGGGATCAGTTTACCTTGAGCATTCCTATTAAAAAAACACCAAAAAAAAGTCATGGAACTTGACTATTAACACTCAACAAGTGCACGAAACATGGGAAAGTTTACAACATTTCAAATTGATCTTAAATCACTGGTAAAACTAAGATTTATCAGCGAAGAATAAATTCTTGGTGTGGTTTATTAAACAAGTAGGCTTGTCTAACTTGTGATTGCTTTTATCATCGCTCCTGTGAGTCACACAAGAATTTTCTTGCATTCATTTTCTTCTCCTTTTAGTGCACCTTAACAGAGGGATGGTGGATATATGTTGCTGACAGAAAAGTTCTTCATAAAAGCACAACAGCTTTGAAAACAGTGATTCCCCTCATAAAAGCAGCCCCAAAGGTGAATTTTAAGTTAGGAATAAATTAAGACCCTGGTTCCCGATCAACATCTTTTATACTTTCTTTTGTCTTGAACAGAATGAACTGCCAGAAATTTGAAATTTCTACAGAGACTGAAAAGGCAAATTTAGCACATGAGGATACAGTCATGATTTTCAGTTTGCAGAAATTAAAATTTTCAGAGTTAAAAAACTGATCACCACTTCTATGAACACAAGCATTTGTTGTTACAGAAGTAAGCAGAATACATGTACACTGTTGTTTCACCCACATACCTGTTGCTTCTTCATCAAAGCAAGCAAAAGCATTCCTGATTACATCCTCCGGGTCGGTGCCATTTAACTTCTCACCAAACATGGTGAGGAACATGGTGAAGTTGATGGGGCCCGGAGCCTCATTCATCATGGCATCTAGGTATTCATCCGTTGGATTCTTTCCTACAAATAAAGGGATTCATACTTGGTTTAGCTTTCAAACTGAACAAGTAATGTCAGTAGTGTTAATACGAACTGAGACACCTCTCATATCCCAAACTCACTATTTTGATTTTTGCAGCACAAATTTGCCTGGCAAGCATGAACAGAGGAAAGGGATATTACCAAGGGAGGCGAGCATGTCGTGCAGGTCCTCTTTGTCAATGAAGCCATCCCTGTTCTGGTCGATCATGTTGAAGGCCTCCTTGAATTCCTGGATCTGCGACTGATCGAACATCGCAAACACATTGGAAGTGGCGCGCTGAGGGCGCTTCTTGGTGGTCTTCGTCTTTGCTCTTTTGCTAGACATGGTGGCTGGTGGTTCTAAGGAGACAGAAATATATCCAAGATTTAGCCTTATTAAATCACATTGCAAGTCCCTGGGGTAGAGGAACATCAGGCTTCATGTTATGGGCATATACCCTGAAGTACACATTTATTTCAATATCTCCTGCTCCATTTTCCTTCATACTTCACTTGCTGTGAAAGCATAAAGCCTTTGAGGATTGAGGGACCAGCACAGTAGGCCAATAGGAGGCTATATCAAAAGGCCAAATCAAATCATAGCTCTTGAAACTCACACAATGCTTGTGTTGCTGATTCAATACTCCACCTGCATCTTCCACAAATTAATACAACTACATATGCAGGAATTTGGGAGGCACTGTTGACATAGAAGGATATGTGCTGCTAAACTAGCACAGTGGTTAAATAGATGAGACAGTATACTAAACTAACATTTTGGAGGAAAAAAAATGTATTTTAGGCTCTAAATAGCATTTTGTTAGACTAGCTACCGTTGAGAGAGAGAGAGCACCGACTTAGTTCAAAAGTTCTACAGTGCTATTCCCTTACACAGTGGAACTACTACACAACACATGCAAACGCCAACACACTCTTTTTAGAATTAATTAAAAGGTATGATAGCTACAAAAATGTGAAGACTGTTATTTTTAAGCTACCAACCCTTAGAAACATTTATATGTTTTTATAAATTTTCACATATCACAGGTATACTAATGTTATTGTTTCCCTTGAAGCTGTCATATGAAGAAATAAACATGGTAGATTTTATGTACATTCAGGCTACAAGTGAGGCTTTTAAATTAACTGCATCTCTTTATCTGGAAAGATACACGTAGTGTTCCAACTAAATGTATGACAGCACAAACTAGAAAAGCTGAGTCATTCACCGAAAGGCAAAGTCCTCAACACTGCTTTTGGATCAGAAGTTAGACCCTTTTTAATGTTGTTTCCAAAAGTCTCATAACCTCTGCTTGCATTAGCTAAAACTAAAGTGTAATCTGTACTGCTAAAATCCTTCATAATGCTCAAAGTGTTATGGAAACCAAATTCCTTCCATCCTTGACTCTGAATTTTACAGAAAGCACCTGTAGCAAGTGTCTCCTGAAAGAAGAAAATTTAAGCTTCACTTGTAATTGCAAGAATATCAATATTCTGAAATCTACACTAAGTATTAATTTTGTAACTTAGAAACAAACCATCTGGTTAGAACAGCAATGCTAATTGGAGACATAGCACAGTTCTAACTGTTTCTCAAACAGTTTTCTGAGAAAGAAAACTCTTTCTGAGAAGACAGTTAGACAGAATATTTTCTGTTAGAGTCCTGAAAAGCAAGACTGAAGTCACTAACTGGGATTCATCCTTAAACAAAAAGGGAGTAAAATTAAGCAAAGTAACTCCCTTATACAATCAAACCAATATGCAGACACAAAGCAGTTATTTTTGGGGTTTTTTCTAACTAAAAGGAAAGATATTTTACCTTGCTTTGTATTAGATACCTGACAGGGTGTACCAAGCATCTGGATCATAAAAGGAAATTCCATGGTTACGTCCTTCTCAGTCTGTCCACACAGACAGCTACTGATGTCCCCTGCTAATTCCACACTTTTAAATCCTACGTGCATCCACAACGTTCTTCTGACGTACAAAACAAACCATTATGTCCCGAACTAAAAATAGCCCCTGAAATGCAACCGCGCATCGCTCAACAACGCAGACGTTCTCTCTCTCCACTGCCCTCACTAACCACCAGCTACCCGAGATGTCTGGCCTCCACAACACTGCAGCAAATAAACATGAACTCTTGACTTCCAGATACTTATGCTGACAGCTGACAACAAAGGTAGTTTGCTTTCAAGCTGCAGCCAAGGGTTGTGCATAACTTTGGTGGTTTTCTTACCACTGTAAAAAATCCCAGGCAAGCTGGCATTTAACTCTGGGTTATTGATGAGAAGTTCACTACTCAAAATAGAGCCAAACTGTATCTTTCAATTACTCTTCTCTGAAGCTTTCAGGATATGGCTTGTTCAAAGTAAACAAAAAAGTTTACTCTGCATGTGCTGATGCCGACCAAATTAATTTTTGCTTTTTTACTTTTACATATCTTCATATTCTTTACATGTATATTTGCAGCTCTGTAGCCTATTATTGTATTCATAGCTAGCATTTTACCTACTCTATTAGAAAGACAAAATACATTCCCCAGCGGCTCTAAGGCCTCAAGGTTACATTCTTTGGGATCTCAGGTCAAAATGGCTTCCTAACATTTCATAAAGTTTAGTTTGTATCTAAGGGGGTGGGGGGGTGTTCAGAAAAGGGGAGAACCAGGGGCGAATTATTTCTAACTGGGGATTTCTGCGAGTTATGCTAATTTGCTGAACCTGTAAAATTGTATCCACTTGTTACAGTATGCATCTTCAGTGCTTTTTCATCCTGCATGTTGTGTACCATAAGGATCCTTATATGGTAATCCCTTTTTATCACCTAATTGTGTCTGGCTTGTAATTCTAGGATCAGTAAAAAGGCGTAAGTGCTGCAAAGGCAGTGCTCCCAGCAAGCCCCTACATGCAATTCTCTCACCTACAATTCAATCCTAAGCAAGAGGAGGTAACAAAAGCAGGCTGTCAGCACATTCTTTTTAATTCTGTTGAGAAGATTGACCTGTCAGCGTATATTTTACTAGAAAAACCAAAAAAAGTGCCAATGCTGGTATTACTATTGTCTAAGTTTCTCTGAACCAGACTTGGGAACTCCTCCAGTCCAAAAGAGCTGTCAGCCTAGCTACAGAGAAACATCAGATCTCGCAGGACTGCAGCGCCCTTCAGCGCAGGTTTGCTGCAGCTATGCCTGAAATGCTGGACTCAGCTCCAGGAATGTCTGTTAGAAAAGAGGGTGGTACTTTTTGGAACACGTTCAGAAAGCCAAAGGCATCAACCCAGTTAGCCAAAGAGACCAATTTATGTTTTAAAAGTTCCAGAAGTGTTTGCACTTTGTGTTACCCAAGAAAAAGATCCACATTTATGCCAACACTTTTGTAACTGAAATAGGGTTAGTATACGCTGGAAATAGAATTTCAGTAGATAAAAACTGGGAATACTTCACATTAGATAGTGCAAGTCATGACATGCAGGTTTAGTCCCTGTTGTTTAATACTATGCTGCACTGAATGGTCTGGGCCCTGTTTTGGAAGCTGTCCAAGAAACTTCAAATGTAAGACATTACCTATGAGAAACATCATAAAGTATTTCTTAAAGTGCAACCTTTCTTAAGGTTGCACTTTAAGAAATCGTCTAATTTTATAAATTCCCACATCACATATTTAAAAAAAACCCAATAAATAGGTAGTAGCAGCACTGTGCTCCTTTGTGCTGCCTGTATTGCCATTTGTTCAGCCACAGTGGATATCAAACCACAGAAGCACAGAGAATCATGTTGTGGTCCCTTCCTCTGGGAAACTGACAAACCCTTGAGGGAAAAAAAAAACCCAAGCAACTAAAAATTTTGAGCCACTCAGTAAGCTGTGAAAATTTACAGCCACTAACAGTGGTGCAAGCTGGACCTGCTCAGAGGCAGTGACCAAAAGTTATGCTTTAGAAAACACTCCCATGTTTCAAAATTGTGACTATTGTAATAGCTGCAAAATCTATTACTGGAAAAAACCAAACTACCACACAATAAATCCCCAAACCCATAGCCAAGAAAGTCTCTACATGAACTAAGACAGAACATCAAACTCAAAAGTCAGCCTCAAAGCTAAATTCCAAATTCTGTCCACATACTCAACTGCAGCATCACATACAGTCACACATATCCATCACAATCTGGGCGGCAACAGGAAGAGATAAGAGCAAGGTGCTCTCCAGCAGATCTGTGTCAAGGCTCAATAAAGAGCAGATTACACTTTATGAAAGCAAACTAGCAAAACCCAAACCCTACACTGCCCCACCCAGTCTTAAAAGCCACTTTAACACACTTCTCACTAATAAGTTTCCCAAAACCCTTGTACAGGAGTTACACTTGCCTCAAAATCCAGCGCCAGTGAGTCAACACAGCCTGTCTGCAAAAGAGAAAACAAGGCTCAGAGGTGGCCTTATCACTCTCTACAACCACCTGAAAGCAGGGTGTAGCCAAATGGGGATCGGCCTCTTCTCCCAGTCAGTAAGCGACAGGATGAGAGGACAGTCTGAACGTGTCCCAGGTTTAGGTTGGTCATTAGGAAGAACTCCCTCACAGACAGGGTGATTAGACATTGGAATGGGCTGCCCAGGGAGGTGGTGGAATCACCGTCCCTGGAGGTGTTCAATGAAGACCGGACGTGGCACTCAGCGCCATGGTCCAGTTCCATGGTGGTCGGTCACAGTTGCACTCGATGACTTCGGAGATCTTTTCTAACCTAATTGATTCTGAGAGCCGGGGAACCAGCGCACGCAGTCCCCTGTGCAGCTCTGGTTACTCCAGAACGTGAGCAGGAAGGAACAGACCCAGGCCCACTACCTCACCCTCTCCCGACCGCAGCAGCTCCCAGCCCTGCCCCTCCCATGCTCCGACAAAGCCGAGGAAACACCCGCAAAGGGCCCGATGTGGCCGGGAGGCAGCCGAGCCCTTCCGATAGGGACACAAACACCTTTTAACACCAGGTCCCTGAAATGATGCACAGTCCCCGCGGGCACCGTCCCCGTAGGGCTCACAGGGCGGGGTCGCGGGGCCCGGAGCCGGGGTCTCTCCCAGCTCCAGCCCGCAGGGCGGATCCCGTTAAGAGCAGCAGCACTGAGCCGAGGCCCGAGGGGAGCTGCGGGGGGCGACGCCGCAAGCGACCCCCGGGCCGGCACCGCCCATCCCTCACCGGTGGCCGGCCCAGACCTCGCGGGCAGCAGGCGGAGCCCCCCGACTCACCTGGCGGCGGGAGACGGCACCGGCGGGGAGCAGCTGGAGCAACACTTCCGGAGAGCGGAGCGGCCACCGCCCCGCCGGGCCGGAAGGAAGCTGTGGGCGAGACCATCCGCGCACGAGGGGGAGGTGGCGGCTTGGTTCATCGCTTCGGCGGCCGAGCGCCGCGAGCCATGTCGAGGAAAGGACCCGCGTGTTTCGTGTTTTTATCCTGGATTCTCTGCTTTCCTTGAAGGAGAAAGCCAGAGCCAAGAGCTCAGCCCCTCCACCCTGTGCGTGTGTCCTCCCCCCTCCCCCGGCGACGCGTTGGTGCAGCGCGGTGTGGTCACCACATTCCACGGGCGAGGGGCGGAGGGAGCCGCGCGCCTGCCCTTGTAAGGCAACGGCGGGAGTTTCCTGCTCGCGCCGGCGGGCGGGGCCTTGCCCGCTCGCCCCGCCCCGCCCCGCCCCGCCCCGCTCCGGCTCGGGGCTAGCCGGGGGTTCTGTGGGGTGTGAGGGCGGGAGCCGGGAACCCGGAGCCACAGAGCCACGGGGTGGGTCCGGTCGGGAGGGACGCAGGGACCGCCATCTGGTGCAGCCTCTCTGCTCAAGCATGTGGCACAGGATTGCATCCAGACGGTTCTTGAACATCCCCAGTGAGGGAGATGCCATACCCTGTCAGGGCTGCCTGTTTCAGTGTGTGGTCACCCACACAGTATAGCAATTCCTCCTCATGTTCAGGTGGCACTTCCTGGGCATCTGACTCCTTGGCACCACCGAGAAGAGCCTGGCTCCATCCTTTTGACCCCCCTTTCAAATTCTGATGAGATAAATAGAGCTAGGAGACCTGCTCTTTTAAAAAGGCCTTTATTAAAAACAGCTCTGGGTGGGGAACCCGAGGGGTCGCGCACACTGCCGGCGCTGCTCCCACAGGAGGACGCTGAGAAGAAGGGGTGCAACTTTGGCTCTCGGCAGAGCTGGGGCTTCTGTCCTCACGAGAGTCCTTAGGAAGACGATGCTGCCTCGTAGCTTAGAGGTATCATCCAAGCTGAGTACTATTTAAGTTATGGTGGCAGGAAGGAATCCAGCTCTGGTCAGTGGTGGGTGATTTTGTCTGGTTCTGCTCGGTTAAAATCATAGTTTATGTGCTGGTTTGTTGTTTTTGAGAGGGTTCATATGGTACAACAGCCTCTCAATTCAGTCCGGATGCAAGTCCTTCTAGGAGCAGGGGAAGTGGTTCCCGATGGAAAGGGATACAAATACAGGGTAAAATAGTAACACTTAACAGCTGCAACTAAAGGCAAGTCCCAGAACTCTAACATTCAATATTCAACAACAGACCAACACTTCAAATTAAGACCCTATCAACTTCATCAACTAGCAATTTGCCACTCTGAAAAAGAGCTCTCATCTCCAGGGTTTCATTTCTCACACTTACATTTAAAAGGTCCCCTCTCAGTCATCTTGAGGCTGAACAGGCCCAACTCCCTCAGCCTTTCCTCTTAGGAGAGGTGCTCTAGTCCCTTGATTAACTTTGCACTCTAAACAGCCCAACACATGGTATGGCACTGCCCTGCATGCTCAGCAGCTGCTGCTGCTGCTGTGTCTGGAAGATTCACCAAAGATCACAGATTATCCTGATTTGGAAGGGACCTACAGGGGTCATAAAAGTCCAGCTCCTGGCCCTGCACAGGACACCCCAAGGATCACACCGTGTGCCTAGAAGCATTTTTCAAACACTCCTTGAGCTCTGTCAGGCATGGTGCTGTGACCA